GGGGTGGGGCGGGACGGGGTAGGGAGATGCATGTCTCCTGACAAAGGAGAACGAGTGGGACACGCTGAGCCGGCCCGCCCCGCCTGGAAGGGAGCAGGAGGGGCACTGTCGGGAGGGGAAGGGGCGGGCCTTTCATTCACTCTCGGCCCCTCTGCCGCCGCTGGAGCGGAAGGGCGGGGTCTCGAGCCCCCCAGGGGGTGAGGAGCAAGGGAGGCGGCAGGGCGCGGGGCGGAACTCTCGGGCGCGCGTCCCGAGGCGTAGGCTACGTCGTCACGTCAGCGCGGGAGAGAGAAAGAGAGGAGCCGACTCGGCAGGGACTGGGGGACGGGTCCGGGAGAGCGAGCAAGGGAGGGAGCGAGTCAGCGAGGGAGCGAGTCAGCGAGCGAGCGAGGAGGGGAACGGCGGCCACTTGTGCCTGAAAGACCGCGGACGGGAGTGGGAGCAGTGGGGGGAAGGAGCAAGGAGGGGAAGAAGAAAGGCTGAGAGAAGAAGGCTGACGGAGGCTGGAGGTAGTGGTAGGGGGAGAAGGAGGAGCTGGAGGAGGGCAGGGGCTGAGGGAGTGAGTGAGAGAAGCGGACACGCGAGGGAGGGAAGGAAAGGGGGGTTACGCGGGCGCGCGCGCGCGCGCACCGGGAGCGCGCTCGGAGGCGAGTGGAACTGGATCGGGTTTGCTGCCAGCGGCGTGAGCTTCGGCCGCCATTTTACAACAGCTCCACTCGCGCCGGACACAGGGAGCAGCGAGCACGCGTTTGCCGCAACACGATCCCTGCGGACAGGATTCCTCCGCCGCAGCCCAACGGGGAGGTAACGACCGCCAGGACCCGGGTCTGGGAGGGGAGCTCCGTGACATTATGGAGTGAGCTGGGGGAGGGCGGCGCGGGGAGAAACCGGCTTTTCTGGAAAATGGATTCCAAGGGGCAGAGGAGCACGTTGACTGGGGATGTCTGGGAGTAGGCCGCGGCTCGCGCCGCCACTTCCTTCTTTCCTCCATGTGCTGCCGCCGTTCGGGCTTTGTCTGCGTCGCTCCGTGGCCCGCGCGGACCGCGAGCGGCGGCGGAGTTGGTGCTGTCGTGGCTGTCGCCGCGGCGCGGGAGTGGGCGGAGAGGAGCGGGTCCTGTCCCGCAGCCGCGCGACAGACTTGGGTGGTGCTCGTGGTCCGGCGGGCGTTGGGCAGTTCGTGGAACGCCCTGAACGCCGCTGGGTTGCCGACCCCGGCCGGTGTGAGACGGCCGGCCCCCGCGCCGCAGTCGCTGCACAGACGGGCTAGGGGTGGGGGCTTGCAGATAGCGCCGCGTTTCTCGTCTCGGCGGGGCAGGCGGGCGACCGGGGTCGCCGGCGGCCGGGGAGAGCCTGGGGCGGAGAGAGCCATGTGTCACCACGGAGAAGGCGGCGCTGGGGGGGCGGGGAGAGCCTGTGGCCTGGCGCCGCCGCGGCCTCGGTGTTGAGGAACGAGATTGTGCTGCTGCTGCTGCTTTCTGGGGGCTCCGACTGCTACTTCAGGTTGATGTTGGGAGCCAGTGATGGTCGTCTTGGCCTGCGACTCGGTGGGTTTTCGTTAAAGGAAGTTGTAGGATATATGAAGGTGCAGAGCACGTGTTTCACATGGGCTCCTGGCGGCCGCAGCGGTGAGGCTGCCGCTGTGGGTGCGGAGTCGGGGGCGGGCTTTGGGGTGCGGGGGTGAAGGGTGGAGAAATAGGGTGGTGGGAAGGTAGCTTGTGTGAGCGCTTTGTTCTTCGCTGAGTGTTGTTACTGATCTATAAGCGGCAGGCGGGAAAAGCGCGCATTTTGGGGGTTTACCTTTGAGAGGGACAAGCCCAGCTTTGCTTTTTCCATACACAGCTTTCTGTTACCGGCACAGCTGCATGTGGCACGCTGGCGCGTCCTTTGCTAATTGGGCTCCATTTGTAATACGGTTCTTCCTAGGGAGTGTTAGCAGGTGAGTCGGGTGGTACTAAGGAAAACCTTAGTGAATCGGTCCTTCCGTGCCCCGCGCTCCAAATCTGACTTGTCAGGCGATAGTGGCTTTAAAGTAAGGCCTTTTGAAAGGGAAGCGCAGGCTGGCTGGTGTGGTAAATGGTAGAGAAAGTAAAGATTGGGGCTCTCATATTGTCCTCTATTCTTTTTGAAGATTGTAGTTTAATTTTGCTTATTGCGTTTGAACAGATCTCTGGAAACATGGCTACAGAACATGTTAATGGAAATGGTACTGAAGATACTACTTCTGCAGTTATCCATTCAGAAAATTTTCAGACATTGCTTGATGCTGGTTTACCACAGAAAGTTGCTGAAAAACTAGATGAAATTTACGTTGCAGGTAAGAACTAACACTTGCAAAATTACATTATAAAATTTTTCTATTGGATTTCTGGCTTTGAGCTAAAATAGCAACTTTTTGTGGTTTCCAATAAGTGTGGGAACTGGAGTTTTGACTTGTTGTGATAGTTGCTTACTTTAGCTTTGAACTACAGGTTGAGGTGTATAGAGGGAGGGGAAAAAGGGAGGGATAGGTGCTAAAGGCTGGTTGGCCGGATGGATAAGTATAAAACAGTAGCAACAGCTGCTAAATGTTGGGAGCAGGCCATGTGACTTTTTTTGGATATTTTTACAGTAGGATTCTTGTTAAAAAACTTGGTAACTGTAGATTTGTATGTACCCTGTCTTTCTTGGTGTGGCTGTTACTTTCTTCTAGTGGTATTTGAAATTGAGTAGAGGTTCAGTTGTCATGCTTGGGTAGGTACTTTGTTGGTTGATTTTAGGATTTGTAAGTCTGTATATCTAGTGTAGAAATAGTTATCGTTCAGAACTGTGTGATTTAGACACAAAAGATAAAAATGAAGTTGATTCATTGTAAATGTGGTTGAGGCCTCATTTAAGAATGCAGTACAGAATGAGTAAAGTATGTGTGTTTTTCATCATGTAGGTAAGAGGGTTAGCAGAATTGTTAATTGGCATACGTGTACCTGTATGGGCCAACGTGATCTTTTTTAAAAAATATATTTTCCAGAAATGTTAAAACTTGACTACTAATGAAGTTTTCTTTTCTCCAGGGCTAGTTGCACATAGTGATTTAGATGAAAGAGCTATCGAAGCTTTAAAAGAATTCAATGAAGACGGTGCATTGGCAGTTCTTCAACAGTTTAAAGACAGTGATCTCTCTCATGTTCAGGTAATGTTAACTTAATGTCAGTGGAAAAATAATTAAAATAAAAACTTGAGTAGTTTTGGTATGTTTTGTTAAGTTTAACTAGATACATGTATGAAAATTATTTTTCACTGTGATTGGAAAATTTCTTTACAGAACAAAAGTGCCTTTTTATGTGGAGTCATGAAGACTTATAGGCAGAGAGAAAAACAGGGGACCAAAGTAGCGGATTCTAGCAAAGGACCAGACGAGGCAAAAATTAAGGTATGTCTTCAAAAACTTGCTTTATTAGCCCCTTCAATTTTAAAGTTTTTCAGCTGTTTCCTAGTTTTGGTAAATAGTCCTTGAGTGTGAAATGGGTGTGTGTATTTTTAAGATGTTGATAGTTAATAGCATGAAGTAATTAATCTTTTCTAATTTTAAAGTTCTGTGCCTTTATCTGTTAAAACAAGTCACTGTTCTTAAGGTTGTTTTTGTTACTCAGCTACTGATGTTTATTTTAAATTCGTGCTATTGGCATTCCAAATAAAAGATTTAAAGAAATATATCTCTTGTATTTCTAGACACTATTGGAAAAACTGTAAGTCCAGGTTACTGACAGTGAAACCAAACTGGGAGGGGATCAGTTATTTACCCCCATACTAATGGAGAATGTACATTTAGCAGTTGATTCTTTTCTTGGTATTCTCAAGCCCTGAATTAATTTAGGATTTTAACACTGCCTTTTCCCTTTTCCGTTCGTATGAGCTATTAAGTTGTTTATTTCTAAAAGTAGTTTTTAGAAATAAAATCATTTAGTGTGGAAATGTAAATGAGGACACAGACTGGGAGTGGGAGCTTTGTAAAAGGTGTTATAGAAAAGTAACTTAAAATTCAACTAGGTTTTGATCTTGTGTTGGTAAGGTTTAGTTCACAGAAAGTATTGTAATCATATCTGTTTTATCTTGATCCTCTTAATATAGTATGCTAGTGCTCTTGAACCAAGGATTATGGTTTAAGAAAATCAGTTACTAAGTAGGACGTAGGTGTTGGGTGGTGGTTTGATCATACAGGATGAGGGATGCCTGGAATATGGACAAGATGGGAATGAAATATCGAGTTAGCTGTTAGACTCATCTATGAATTTGAGACTTTTATCAATCTAGCTGTGAGTGAATTGAGTTTGTTTGAAGTATAAATCTGATTTTTCCATGAAAATGGGATGTGGTTGCCCCATTTGTAATTGTATCAGTTGTAATGTACATTTGGGAGTTTGAATTTATGTGACTTTATAACACTCACTTTTCAGTCTGTCTGTGCAGAGGGGTGGCTTAAAGCTATAATACGACTGAAATTGTGGCAAGAAGAGTATAGAGACATTTTTATAAAACATTTGAGAGGAGAAAGAAATAGTTTTTTCTCTTCGTTTTTAGAGATCGACAAAAAGTATTACTTGGGTTGCGTGAAAGTTGAAGAATTGTAACTCCTTTGTAACATAGAATAGGAATTACATATGGGAAGATATAAGCCATTTAGTGGTTCAGTTTATGTCATAGTCATAGATTTGAATTTTAGTTTTGTTACTAACCCAGTGTTGCACCCTAAGGCAAACTGAAGTTTGGGTATAATATAAAGAGATGCCCAAAATATGGAGCTTTTTGTGAGTCTTTTTGTTAAAAAGTTAAAGAATGAATGAGTTTTTATGGATTACTGTTTTTTTTTCATAAATTTTTTTGGTTAGTAGAAAATGTTAAAATCTTAGCTTTTTAGACTGAGGTGACCCCAGATTATTTAAGTCTTTTGATAGGTTTGCCATATAACTGGGGTTAGTGAGTCTGTTTTTATTTCAGAATTTACCAGCCAACTGTAAATTGTTGTTAGTGGCCATTGAGCTGATTTCAACTCATGGTGACCCCATGTGTTACGAGAGTAGAATTGTTCCGTAGGGTTTTCTTGATTATAATGTTAATGGAAGCAGATTGCCAGGTTTAGGCAAATGGTGGACTACTTTTTCGTAGTACTTTGGCCTATGAGAGATGAAGGGCTAGTTACCAATGCTCTTGACTAAATATGAGTTGTATAAATTTTGAAAGGTCGCCTTTGGGAGTTAAAGTGTAGAAGTTAAATCACCCTGAAATTTTGTGAAGTTTTCAAAGTTATTTTGTCTCTTTTCTGAATAATCGATTCTGTTTTGTGAAGCGTGGTACTTGAATAGTGAATGAGTATGTCATTTTTCCTGCAGCTCCCAAGTTTCTAGACTTACTTTAGGGAGTGTAATTTCTGGTGGAGTAGTAGTTAAGTGATACTGCTGCTAACCAAAAGGTCGGCAGTTCAGATCTACCAGCCGCTCCTTGGAAACCTTATTTGGAGCCCTGGTGGTGAAGTGGTTAAGAGCTCAGGCTGCTAACCAAAAGGTTGGCAGTTCGAATCCACCAGCTGCTCCTTGGAAACCCTATGGGACAGTTCTCCTTTGATCTGTGGGGTCGCTGTGAGTCAGAATCGACTTGAGGGCACATAACAATTTCTGTAAAGGTTGATGAAATGCCTTGAATGGGGGTGTATACTTAGGAATAGGATGCTTGCTATTTATTGGATAAGAAATCCACATTTGAGAGAGGTAACTTACTTAGCTCCTTCCTTAAGAGAAAGATTCTTAAGAGAGAATTCAATTCAGCCAGGTTAGATGTAGTCATTTTTTAGGAGGCATAGCAGAGTTAGATAGACCTTGCCTGCAAAGTTGTTGATGAATTAAGATCTTAATTTTTTTTGTTGTTCGCTAAACATAATACAATAATTAATTAAAAACTGGAAAATAATTTGAATAGGGTTCTGAAGTTTTCACTGTGAGATAGGACTGTAACAAGTGAATGTTAAAGGAAAAATTGTGAAATAGACACCAGAGATTTACGGGGAATGTTGCCAAGATAGTTGGAAAGATTGGAACAAGATTGACATGAACGCTAAATGCATGCGGGTGGTCTTGTCAGTTAAATGTATTAATAACATTTGAACTTTTCAAGGCACTCTTGGAAAGAACAGGCTACACACTTGATGTGACCACTGGACAGAGGAAGTATGGGGGACCACCTCCAGATTCCGTTTATTCAGGTCAGCAGCCTTCTGTTGGCACTGAGGTAAAGAAACTAAAAATTTGTACCTTTTGTAGTAGATGCACAGGTATCTGGTTATCTAAAGAAATTCTCCGTGGTTTTTACTTCATATTTTAATTTACAGATATTTGTGGGGAAGATCCCTCGAGATCTATTTGAGGATGAACTTGTTCCATTGTTTGAAAAAGCTGGACCTATATGGGATCTTCGTTTAATGATGGATCCACTTACTGGTCTCAATAGAGGTTATGCGTTTGTCACTTTTTGTACAAAAGAAGCAGCTCAGGAGGCTGTTAAACTGGTAAGTTTTTTTCCCTTCCATCTTGGTATTCATTGTCTTTAATGCTAGTGTTTTTTTAATTGTGTTTAAAGGTTAACCGAATATCTTTTGAAGTGCTGATTAGAAAATGTTTAACACATTCTCTATGCACACATTGTATTAGTGTTCAGGATCAGTAAGATAGCATGGCAGAATTCCTTGTAACCAGTTGTTTGAAACATCTGGCTTAGTGGTTTTTTGCTTTTTTTTTAATTTATAGGGATGTGAAAAGGTGTAAGAAAGTAATAGGACTCCATAATTACTGGACACACCTGGTTCATACTTTTTTCTAAAATATTTCACAAAGACATTGTGAATCTACATTTTTAGTTAATGAAATAAAGGGGTTTTGTAGTGAGCGGCCTACATTTTTTTGTTTTTCCCCAGCTTATTAGAAAGAGGGATTTTTCATGTTTCGAATTATGGCTTATTTAACTCGCCTTCAAATTAGTTTTATTCCATGACTCAAGTGGTTTCTGCAGTTTATAGTTGAGGAAGCTAGTGGTTGAAATCAATCAGTATTTTTTGGTACACTATGCAGTGTACCAAAAAATATTAATTGGAGAAAAACCTTAGTAGATAATTTATTAGCGCATGTGTGTGCTAAATTTGCCTTATTTTCTTACATGTTTTATGGGTAAATCAAAGCAAATTTAAAATTTCAGCACTGATTTCTTCTGTTGAGGGTTTTTTTCCCCCTTCCCTCACCATCAGAGATATCACTTACATTTTAAGACAAACCTTAATTAGAAAGTTAAACAAAAAGTATGCTTTCTTTTGCTGTTCTGTATTGCATTGATTTGCTGCTGGTACGTATAATTGAATATGGTGAAGGTTTAATGTTAGAAAATTATGCTACTTGAAAGTATCTTTTAAAAGAATTCAGAAGTTTAGGTATTTCTTTTTAAACCATGGCTGATTTTTGCCTGCTTAAAAGAATGCTTCCTATTTCAGAAGGGATGTGTAGCTCTCTACAGAGCCATTCACTGGTAACCTTTCAGCTGTGTCAAAGTTTTAGATTCAGCAGTTCAGGTAAAATCAAGGACTCCTAGAGCTGGAGAAAGAGGTACTTTAGAAATCATAGTTTAATTTCCTCCTGTAAAAGAGTAGAACATTTTTGCCAACAGTTTAACAATAAAGTAATAGTAAATTTTAATGTGAAAATGCAGAATGATCTGGAAGGTAATGAACTATCTTACTATATAGCCAGTGATGTCAGACCTATTTATTAGGTATTATGTAAGGTTTTAATTTTGTTTAATGATAAATGGTTACATAGTTTTGTAAGTAATGGTTTGTATATTAACACTTTTAAAGGGAATCATTAAATTGACATTGGTAGGGTATTTAATTCTTGCTATCAAAGTATACAAATTACAGTAGGTTTTAACTGGGAATCATTTCTAGATGATTCCAGAATCCTTATAGTAAAGAGACATTTTTAGAGAAAGATGCTATATATGGCAGTTGTAATAATGATTTTGAATGACAGCAGTACACATTATGAAATATGTTTCAGTTTGGGCAGTTCCCTTTATTTAACAAATAATATCTCACAATCAAAAATTGTATTGTTGTAGACTGCTTGGAGTATAGTCTTATGTGGTTAGTTTTTAAGTGTAATACAAAAACTTTGTATGTAACGAAGCAGCTTTTCGGTTGGTCTAGGAACTAATTTCTTTTTTTTTCCCCTGTGTTTTCTCTGTTGTAATTTGAGTCCTTGTCTAGTGGCATAGTTATTTATTTATTTATTTATTACTACCTCATGAATAGCAGACTTTGCATTATGGTGCCTTTTGAAGGATACTCCTAGTAATGGTGGTATACATCCACTGGGATGAATTGGAAGTATCACCATTGTTGTTTTTAGAGGCTGCTTTACTTTGACATGAATCGTAGTCAACTCCACGGTAACTGGTGTTATTAACTTTGGCTGGGATTATGATGATGGAATTGGGAGATTTGTGTTTTATACAACATTAACAGAGGACTGGACTTTCGAGGAAGTAATTGAAACATTCTAGAGAAAATACAAAACTGAAGTTGATTTGGATGTTTTTTGCTACTTTGTGGACTTGAGTATTTTCCCTATTAAGTGTACGGCAGTTCCTCAAGGGAGCATATTGGGGCATACTTTATAAATTATTCCTATTTGTATTATATGTTAAGATTTCACTTAAATTAATAATTCTATCCAAGGCAAATTTTTATGTAATTGAAGGGTCATTCTAGTTATATATAACCAAATGTTGGGAAAATATTTATTTTGCATTATTTATGGATTAGAGAAGATTGAATTTCTGCTCTCCTGTACTTTAAGTGTCTTGAGGAATACCTTAGTGGAGGTAGTTTATATATTTGGTCTAATTTTTTTTAATACGCATTTAGCAGTGATTTTTATTCTAGGTTAAAAACTACAGGAGATTTAAAGTTTGCATTTGAATTACCTCTGAAAACGGATTAATTGATGTTACCAGCTGAAGAAGAGGCAGTAAGTTAGAAGCAACTGCAAACTTTTTAAGTGACCCTGTTTTCAGCCAGCATTTGCCTTGTATTTCGGGAAATAAAAAAAATTCAGCCGTAAAATGTTGATAATCTAGCTAGGGAAGCAAGATCTAAACTGAAAAGGTGAATAATAGTTACCAGTTGAGTGCTTGTTAAGGGACAAGAGCTGTGCTAGGTGCTGCGTTATTTCTAAATGCCACTTCAGCTGTTTCTTCAAGGTAGGTGGAATTGTCTTCATGCTGAAGATGAGTAAAAAGGCTGGATGACTTGCCTGAGGCCATACGCTTAGTTTGATACCAGGCTTGTTTAGCTTGAGTGCAGATTAACTAAAGTTGAACCAAACCGGTTGCCGTTGAGTCGATTCTGACATGGCGACCCCATGTGTTCCAGAGTAGAACTGTGCTCCAAAGGGTTTTCGATGGCTGTGAACTTTTGGAAGTAGATCGCCAGAACTTTCTTCTGAGGTGCTTCTGGGTGGATTCGAACTGCCAACCTTTAGGTTAGTAGCAGAGCATTTAACTATTTGTGCCACCCAGGGACTCCTTTTGTTAACTAGATACAATATTTAAGCCAGCAGTACAAGACAGATAAATGTCACCAGGAACTCTGATTCCCCCCCCAAGTTACATAGTGGTTTAGGTAGTGTTAAAAGGAGCTCAGGAAGTAAGTCATATTTCTACTGCCAAAATATTTTTGACATCTAACCACCATCTTGCTAGATGACTGGGAATCCTTCTGACTAGTCTACCATCCATTGTCCCTTTACAGTCTACCATTCAGCCACTTAGATTAGATCACAACATTTCCCGTGCTGAAAACCAGTGATCTCTAAAGGAGGCCCTATCTGACTATTCTCCTGCTCGCCTTTCTGATTCTTTCTCCCCAACCACTCTTCCTCTTCTTTATTACCCGTCAGCAATACTTAGCCTTTTTTGTCCTCCAAATAAACCATGTCCATTTCTATCTCAAGGCTTTTTCCTGCTGTTGAGCTTTCAAACACTTCGGCCAGTTCTGCCTTCTCATCAATTGGGTCTTCTTAAAGGCCTTTCCAGACTTTGAGCAGTGTCCCCCCTCTGCGTCATCCAGTGACTGAACATGATAAAAAAGAATGCTTAGATGTACTTGAAATGATTTCTTGACTTTGTACAATGATTATCTCTCCAGATCAGAATATAAGCTCTATTTTTCTTGTGTCCCCAACATATAGAACAGTGCCATTATATAGTAGATGTTGGATAAGTAACTTGACTGGCGGATCAGTGCCATTTGATACATCGTTATGACATAAGACTTTATAACATTTCTGTATAGCTCATAGGCCATTTTGCTATTTAGAGGTTACATAGCTTCCATTTGCAATTATTTAGTATGTGCTGCCATCAGACGAAGGGAATAGAGTGTATTAATGGGTGATGAGGATCTCCCATCCTCTTTTCCCCTTGGACCTTATTTGGAAATAAGGTGCGATGTTTGTGGTTGTCATAAAAACCAAGAGGAAGGGCAGCCAAGGTGTATGTGCGTTTGTGTGGTATGCTGTTGGAATTTGAGCCCAGAGCCAGTGGCGATGCAGTGCCCATGATAGTTCTGCATAATGGAAATATCCTGCTGAAAATGTTAATAGTGCTTGCTACAAACGTGTAAACATATGAGGTCTGTTTTAATAGTCACTGATGGTTTTATTCACCAAAGTAGTTGTGCACGCCAGCATAATGTGTCCAACCATAGTTTCACAAAATATTTCAGTAGCAATTTAGCAAATATTTAGTGTGTTTAACATGAAAACTTTTGTTATGGGTATACTAAGTCATTTGATCCAGTTCGACTTTAGAGAGTTTATAAGACATGAGAAGCTAACTACAGTTAAAGTGTCAGCAAGTTCAAAGGGTAAAGGAGAGATGGAAGGGATAGATTTCTTTGGGTTAGAATAGTCAGAATGCATCATAATAAAAAGGTTTGAGTGGGGCAGTGAAGAAATAGGTAAATCAAATTGAAGCAGTGTTTTATGCAGGAAGTAGAAGATAAAAACTGAATGTAATAAAATCAGTACTGAAGGTAGTAGTGATGCCTGCTGGGCTGAGCTGTAGGGTGCCATTAAAGTTTTGAGCTTTGGTGTTGGTGGCATGATGTAAATGACACAAGAATGAAAGATGTTTGGATGGAGAAGAGAACAAAGGCCAGGAAGGAGTCCACAATAGAATGGAGGGAGGTCAGATTTTGAAGGGATAAGTGATAGGCTACTAGTAGTATGCTATACGTTCTATTCCACTTTTTATCAATGACTTAAATGAGGGCATAGTTGGGCAGTTCTTGAAGTGTTTGGTGACTGGAAGATGCATGCAGTAATTGTCCAGAATAACAAAATCGGGATCTGAAAGGATTTTGATAGCCTGGGAAAGTTCACATTTAGCAAGCTGGAGTTGAGTTAGGGACAGATGCCAAGTCCTGTACACAATTTAACAAATTATAAGTTGTGGTGTGAGTCAGCAGTGTGGTGTGATTGCCAAATTAAGGTAAGATTATCATGGACTATATGTAATGGAGGCATGGTGTCTAGAAGATTAATAATAGTTTCCAGCTTATTTTCCTCAATCTCAGTCTACATCTACAATATTTACTGTGTTATGAATGTCACTTTTTAAGGGAGGGGTACATTGTTTGAAGACACTACAGTTTGCCAGTGTCAGGGAAGGAATGATTAGCCAAGCATAGAGAACAACTGAGTCATGAAACTTAGGTGCATGTATGTGAAGCACTGTCATTTGGGGGAGGGAGTAGATTTATTTTTTGTCCGAAAAAGGTAGAAATAGAATTGATGGGTAGAATATTTAGGGAAGTACATTTTAGCTCAATGTGAAGAACAGCTTTCTGATTAAGAAATGGCTTAAAAGTGAAGTGGACAGGCTCGGGAGGTGTACTGTTTTTCTTCTGTAAGAAGTGTTAGAACTGAGCAACCACTTCTGGATCAGATTCAAAATTTGAAATTCTAACCTGGGGATTTGCTGGCTTACTGGCTATGAAGGAAGGAAGGAAAAAGTGACTTTTAAGATTTTACACTTAGATGACAGCAATGGTACAGGTTAATATAACTCCTGTTTTGGTATTCTTAAACTGAAACTGATTAATAAACTGAAACTTGATTAATACTGAAAGTTCATCTTTATATTGGGTCACCTCACTGTGGTTCTGAACCTGAAAGCTAGATTTCTGAAACCTATTATTTAACATCTAGGGCCCACCTTCCTAGTCAGAAAGACCTTTTCAGATTTTTTTTTGTTTTATGTTGATACCATCATAATGTCCTGATGGCATATTAACTTTTTGGTAGTTATTTACCATATTAAATTAGAAGCACCATCAAGTCTCAGAACAGTTCTTTTTTTAATGCACTCTCACCATCTTATTCACTGTTACCTATCTTCTGGATGAGAAGTTTATTTTTGAGTTTAAGGTGATCGGTTTCACAAAAAAAAAGCCAGCCTCCTGCTGTCAAGTCAATTTGGACTCATAGCGACCCTATAAGGCAGAGTAGAGCTGCCCCATGGGGTTTCCAAGGCTGTAAATCTTTATGGCAGCAGATTGCCACATCTTTCTCCTGAGAAACGGCTAGTAGGTTCAAACTGCCAACCTTCTGGTTCGCGGCCAAGCACTTTAACCGTTGTGCCACCTGGGCTTCCTGGTGATAGATTGGTCTTAAAAAATATTAAATAATTAGAAAGGTTAAGTAAATCAAACACACACACGTATAAATACACACGTACACTTAATTTGTAGATGGAGCATTGCTTCAGGAAATATTTATTTCCAGGTACTTTATTTGGACAGTGAGCCCGCAGGGTCTCTCTGTTTTGCTCCTTGAATGACTTATTTTCACAGGGAAATTCATTTATTCTCTTATGGGGCACATATAATTGTTCCAATCATTTTATTAAATAATTGTAGGTAGAAGGGAGTTATAGTTTACCTTATAAATCCTGCTCAATCTTCATGTCATTTATATTCTTTGGAATGCATTCAGAGACCACAGCCATCCTTCATACCTTCTACCTACTCTTGCCTGAGTAGCAATAGTAGGTTACTCAGTGAAGGACAGGTGATGACAGGCTAGAAGTAAAGAAACTTTTTCTGTAGGCAATAATGGAAATAGTCATTAAGATTTTAAAGCAAAATTGTTAATGTGGCCAGGGTGATGGCAGTGGTGGTTACATTACAGAATGACTATCTCATATTTCTCTGATTATTGTTGCCCTGGTGGAATTTTTTCATTCTCTGTTCCGCTTTCCTTACTAGATTTCTTTTTAGGATTTTGGTCATCTTCAGTAGCATTTTCTATATAATTAAGAATTCTAATTTTTGCTATTTTTTTTATTTTAAATTTTAAGTTATTATAGTAAATCCTGCTCTTAGTATATTTGAAAAATAAAGAAAAATACAAAAAAAGAATGAAAATTATACCAATTCTGTCATCCTCAGAATAGCTCCCACTTTCTCTTTAAATACTTTGTGTTTTTTCATTGTTTTTCTGATGTTTTGTTTTTGTCAGCTCCTAGAATTACATACTAGATATTGAAAATTAAATGATTTGTCACTACAGCTGGCTATTTGCTACATCATCAGAATCTAGGGAATTTATATGTCTTAAAGCAATTTATTGTGTTCTTAGCCTAACTTTATTTGTAAAATAAGGTATTGTAGTTTACTTGTCCTAGCCATTGATAGAAGGTCAGTAGTCTCATCAGAGTCCATTAATTTATTAAGAGATTTATAGGAGACTTCAGGTATAGAACCAAAGGTACTCATAACCGTCTGCAATTACAGATTCAGCCATAGCCCTACAATTTGCCTTTTTCAGAGATTATTGGTCTAATGGAAGAAAAAGACATTTTAATACAATGTATATGCTCTATGAGAAGGCAGAGTCTATATATAGCAGGATTACTCAACCATGACACTATTGACATTCTTGGTTGGGTAATTCATTTATGTTGGTGGGCTGTCCTGTGCTGTATAAGATACATAGCAGCATCTCTGACCTCTACCCATTAGATGCCAACACCAGCCAACCCAACCCTTTCCCCCCTGCCCCGAGTTGTAACTATCATCTAGGCTTCTGTTTAGAACTATTGGTCTGTGTTAACATAGAATGTTTTTTACCTTTATAGGATTTAGCAATTGCATAGTTCAATATCCAGGTATGCAGAAGAATTTGAATAGGAACACGTTTCAGAGAAGGCATTTGAGGCTTAGAAGTATAAAACTGCATGTTTGAGAACTGATGTAAATACCTAAGGTTACATATTGTAGAGAGAAAGGGGAAATAGCAGGAATTTTAGAATGAACTTATGTAACGTCCCAAGTATTTGAACTTTATCTTTTTTTATGAGAAACCATTGAGAGATTTTTCAGTAGACAAAAACTGTGTGTATATGTATAGATAGATACAATATTTTTAATGTTAGATCTCTGGCTAAGTGTAGACAAGTAGGAATAAGTCTGGGGTCAGTATAACCAGAAACTTTGATAGCCTGAACTGAGTCAGTGGGGAAGAAAATACCAAACTGTTCAGAATTGGAGGTAGATTTTGGATTTTATGTTTAATTGAATATCTGGAGATGGAGAAAGGAGAGGGGAGGAATCGAGGGCAGTTTTCTGGCTTAGTTATGTTTTCTTTTGTTATACCTGATACAGCTGTTACACCAGATTGGGAATAATCAATGAGCAGAGGAATGGTTTTTCTTTTGCTGTGAGGGTGGTTTGTGGGAATTCATATTGGTCTTGAGTTTGAATAACTCCACTTGTATGTGTATATAAAACAGATTGCAAGGCCAGGTGTAAGTCAGTTATTGGAGAATTATTTCTGCTACTGCTACAAGTTTTACTGACATGAAATTTTCAAGGTGGTTTTAACTATGCAATTTTACTGACGTTATCTACTTATCTTTCTTGTTCTAACTATTTGTGGGCTTGATAAAAATGAAATGGGGAAAAAAAGCACAGTCAGATTCAGAATAACAAGGAGCTCTCTTTTTAGACTTAAGTATTTGAAGTCAGACACCCCTTTATTGCAACTTTTTACAAGAGGGAAGATGGGAAAGTTGATTTAGATGTTAGTTAACAAAAAAGCAGGCAGAAAGCTTGTGCTGCTGGAATCATTTTCGCTTGTATGAGAATAACTGATTGACAGGATGAATTTGAGTAGAGGTTAAGGTATTGTAGCATGAGCAATTCTTGAATTTAAACTGCTAGAGATACGATTCTTTATCAAGTTTCCTAGATTTAAAGAGCTTCACAACAAAATTTTGCATTCATTTGATTAACTTGTTCGGTGTGTTTTGTCAATAGTCTTCATATCTGTCAGGCTACAGCTTCCTTTTACTGTGCCTTATGGTGAACTGTAGTTTTTAAATGATAAAGATAGTTGATAAATGTGGTGGTGAAATTGTAATTTGTTAAAGGTTTTGCTTTTGTATATGGATTTGCTTGTCTTCCGTGATAAGCACTTACGATACTGTAAGTAATTTAAAAACATGGTATACTATTTTTTTCCTCCTTTTAGTATAATAATCATGAAATTCGTTCTGGAAAACACATTGGTGTCTGCATCTCTGTTGCCAACAATAGGCTTTTTGTGGGCTCCATTCCTAAGAGTAAAACCAAGGAACAGATTCTTGAAGAATTTAGCAAAGTAACAGGTAAGTTGGATTTATTTGGAAGTAGGTACAACTTATAATAATAAAGATAATAACATAGTTCTGTGTGCCCAGTAGTGTTCTAAACGCTATGTTTATGGACTCATTGAATCTTTGCTACAGACTTATGAGATTTGGCAAATACTGGTATCAGACTAGGCAAGTGCCATTAAAAAGAGTTTTAGTATTTACCTGCATAATAAAATCTAAAGGTGTTGGCACTTCAATCTGACCTATACTGCCATTTTCCTAAAATAATTATATAAAGATTTTTTTGTACCTCTTTGTGATTTAATTAATGGAAGCCAAGTAGACCTTAGGTCTGATTAAAAAGAATACATTTTCTTTTCATGGGGGCTTCTGTGTTGGAAAAGCTTGATTGTGTTAGATATATTCATTACAGATTGAGGGAAGGGGTAGATCAGGTAAATAATCTGGACCTGTTATTTGAGAGTCCCTTGTAAAGGTCAGTGAAGAAAAAAGATTGATTTTTATTTTGATATTGAGATAATACCTTAGAAAAATAAATCCTTCAGTGTACTTGTTCTTGCTCATTATTTTATCTAATTTCCTTGGAATGGTTGCTTACTTTCAGAGGGCCTTACAGACGTCATTTTATACCACCAACCAGATGACAAGAAAAAAAACAGAGGCTTTTGCTTTCTTGAATATGAAGATCACAAAACAGCTGCTCAGGCAAGGCGTAGGTTAATGAGCGGTAAAGTCAAAGTCTGGGGAAATGTTGGAACTGTTGAATGGGCCGATCCTATAGAAGATCCTGATCCTGAGGTTATGGCAAAGGTAAGGTAATAATAGTTAAGTTAAAAATTTGGGGGAGGAGAAGGGTTGGTGGAATGAAAAGTGAAAAGGCTTTAGAGGGGGAAAAAGACTTAAAAAAAAAAATTGTGTACATTTTTATAAATCATATTTTTGAAGGTGAGGAAAATACTATTTACTAAGGAATTAGGGCCACACGCCAGAAATTCCATGTATTTGGAAAGTTAATGTGTAGAAATTTATTCGTGGACACTTAGCCATAATTATGAGACTTTTCATGATTAAATAGCCTATATACTGTGAAGGTAGTTCAATTTAATTTTTACTTGAATTCTTAAGTGAAATAGCTTTTGCATTTTTGAGGATGGGGCCATTAGCTAACGTGATTTCTGTATTAGAAGTCTTACTCCTAAAAATAGTGAACTGTACTGGCCTCAGCTGAGCTGCTGCAGTTATAAGGTTTAGCTATTATTAGGTATCCTGCTTCAGCAGTCAGTTGAGACACCCTATGAGAACAAACATCTCGAGTCAACACTTTACTCTCATTAGTGCAGTTTGCAGTTGTTATTCTACCCTTTATCTTTCCTTTTAAGCATCCCCCTTTAATGGTTATAGGATAGGTGTCAAATTAGTTAAAGAGGGGAAGGTGAACTGCCAGGAGAACTGTGAATATTGTTAAAGGATTCTTTTTTTTTTCTGGCCTAGAAAACTCCCACTAACTTAACACTTTAGATAAGGAAATTCAGGTGCTATTTCAGGCATTTAGGAGGGAGTGATAGTGTTTCTTAGCCAAAAGGTTAAATTTTGTAATTTGAGAGATTTCAAGATTGAAAGAAGAATTTGTCGATGTTTTGCCCCCCACCGCCCCCATGACTTAGATTTGCCCACTTGTGTTAAGTGTTAAAACTTGAACAGCTATCTCAGAGGTTATGGTATTCTCATTGTTAGGAAATGACTATGTCCATTTCATTGCAGAACAATCACTAATTTAATAAACCAAGCATATGTTGTGTGCCGTCGAGTCATTTCCGACTCATAGCAACCTAATGGGATAGAGTAGAAATACCCCATAGAGTTTTCTAGGCTGTGGATCGCCAGGTCTTTCTCCCACAGAGTTGCTAGGTGGGTTCAAACCTCCGAGCTTTAGGTTTGCAGTCACCAGGGCTCCTTACCAAGCATATAGTCTATCTGATGTTCTTCTCATAGGTTGTGTTTAAAGTTAACTTTGCAAGGTGAGGGGGGCTGCTGTCTTGGAAATGGAGCTCTTTGGAAATATACAGGGAGTTTCTGCTTTTTTATTTCAGGTAAAAGTGCTGTTTGTACGCAACCTTGCCAATACTGTAACAGAAGAGATTTTAGAAAAGGCATTTAGTCAATTTGGGAAACTGGAACGAGTGAAGAAACTAAAAGATTATGCTTTCATTCATTTTGATGAGCGAGATGGTGCTGTCAAGGTAAACAAGTGGCGAATTCTAGGCATCTAAACTAGACTAATGATTTTTTGTCACCCTAGAATCAGAACATTTTAAAAATTGAAGGAAACGCAGAGATCATGTAATCCAATCAAGCTAATCTTTCTTTATTGCTGTTGAGTGAGTCCGACTCATGGTGACCCAGTGTCAGTAAGAACTGCACTTCATAGGGTTTTCAATTGTTGATTTTTCAAAAGTAGATCGCAAGGCCTTTCTTTGAAAACATCTGGGTGGACTCAAACCTTCATCTTTTTGAATGCGTTAACTGTCTGTACCACCCATAGACTCCGCTAACCTTTACAGGCCGTAGGTTAGTGAGTTATGCGATTTGCTAAGTTAAAAAAAATAATCAGTTGAAGAGCTGGAGCTTTAAATAAAATCTTAACTCACGATCCTGTCTTGTCTTGCTGACCGAATGAGGCTTTGTCTTTGTCTTGTCCTTCCAACGTTAATGGTAAATGATTTAATGCTAACTAGATCATAATTGTTTCTTTCTGCTCTTGTATTGATCAGTATCTTATTTTTTAAGGCTATGGAAGAAATGAATGGCAAAGACTTAGAGGGAGAAAATATTGAGATTGTTTTTGCTAAGCCACCTGATCAAAAAAGGAAAGAAAGAAAAGCTCAGAGGCAAGCAGCAAAGAATCAAATGTAAGTGAAATTTATATACATTTTAATGTTAGTGTATTAACTGAAGAATAATAGTTGTTGCTCAGACATGTTAAATTGTCACACACTTACACCTTACCTTTTAAGAAGACTTGAAAGTTTTGAGACACGAAGAAATGCCAAGGATCTCAAGAAATGGTTACTGAGCTCTTGATACTTAACCATACTTGTGAAAAATAATTGTAATCCTAAATAACTGGAATTTTGTTTAAATAAATGAAAATCAGTCTAGGATATTTTAAAATACATTTTACAGAAAGCATACCTGAAAATGTGTTTTAAATGTTGTTAGGTGCTGTCAAGTCGGTTCCAACTCACAGTGACCCTGTAGGACAGAGTAGAACTGCCCCCATAGGATTTCCAAGGAGCAGCTTGTGGATTTGAACAACCATTGGTTAGAAGCTGAGCTCTTGACCACTATGCCACCAGGGCTTCTTTTCAATATTAGGTGTTGAAAAATCTAACTATGTTTGGTTAAAGAATGGAGAGTTCTGTACTCAGAGAGAATATTAAACCCCAATTATGATAAACTCTGCTTTGTATTTAAAAAAAAAAGACTTTTTTATTAATACATAGTACTATTGCCATGCCAAAGATTTCATATACTAGGCATGGGTTTTGAAAGATGAAATAAGAGGTTATAGCTAATATGATAAGCAAATAATGCAGTATTGAGAAAATTGGGTGTGTAATGAGTTATATAACTGGAGGGATCTTTTCAGAAGATCTGTAAAAGGACATCTGCATATTAAGACAGTGGAGTAAACTTTCAGTTGGTGAGAATGAAGTTAGCACTTTTAAAATTTTGATTGGTAATTTCTAAGAAGGGAGAGGGATTATTGGTATTTGATACAAGAACATTGAACAGAGCGATATCTAAGGTTAGTTTCTTGTTCATTGCCCTTTTTGGGATGCTTTTGGGCAAGTGGCATCTACGTATTTCAGTTATTTCAGAATCAGGGAAGTGATTAAGTTTTAGCTTTTGCAATTAGGTTGGCAAGTTCTGAGCCTTAGTTTCTTCCATTCTAAAATGGGATCAGACTAAATAATGTACGATCTCTTGTGATTATCTGAGTGACCCATGCTTGCTCTGAAACTAAAGAAACGTGCTTTATAGGCTTGATGATAGTGTAGAAGAAAAAGACTATAAAGAGCTGGCTTTTGAGAGAGGGAGCCCGTGCTCTGTCCTTCAGAGCCCTGTGAATTTACCATATGCACTGAAAGTGTTCTCTTTCTGAAAACAATTGATTATGGTTTATTAAAATAGTGAAAAAATATAAGTATAGGAGATTGTTATGTATTTGCAAAGAACAAACCATTGAAGGTATGACTTATGTGATGCTTGTACTTCAACTTGATGCAGTCATTCACTGCTTTTTTTCCCTTTATTCATTAATTTTTTAAAATATTGTGTTTTAGGTGAAAGCTTACATAGCAAATTGGATTTCCAATTTAACCATTTTTATACAACTTGTTCCATGACATTGGTTACAGTCTCACAATGTGTCAACAGTCTCGTTTTTTGCATTCTTTCTGTTTTGTTTCCATTGCTCTAGCTTCCCTGCCCCCCCTTAGCTTCTCATCTTTGTTTTAGGGCAAATGTTGACCATCTGGTGTCTTATAGTTGATTATTTAAAGAAGCATAGTACTCACGAGTGATACTGTTTATTTTATAAGCCAGTCTATTCTTTGGATAAAAAGTGACCATCAGGAGTAGCCTCATTTCCAAGTTCAAAGGGTTTATCTTTGGGTGATAGTCTTGTGGGTTCCTCTAGTCTCTATCAGTCCAGCAAGTCTGGCCTTTTTTAGGAATTTGAGTTTTGTTCTGCATTTTTTTTTTCTGACCCAGGACCTCCTATTGTGTTCCTGGTCAGCGTGGTTGGTAGTGGTAGCCGGGCACTATCTAGTTCTTCAGGTCTCAGGCTAGAGAATGATGTGGTTCATGTGGGCTATTAGTCCTGTGGGCTGGTTTCTTGAGTCTTTGGTTTCTTTCCTTCTCTTTTTTTTTCGAATGAGTAGAAACCAATAGTTACATCTTAGATGGACACTCACAAGCTTTTAAGACCCTCGATGCTACTCCCAAACTAGGATGTAGAACATTATGGACTGTGTTGTGCCAGTTGACCAAGTTGTCCCTTGAGACTGTGGTCCCAAGCCTTCAAACCCAGTAATCCAATCCTATGAGGTGTTTGGTTTTGTCTAGGAAGTATCCGTAAGTGTGCCCTGTATGTGGTTTATTATATGTATGACTATATATGCAGCATATGCTAACATGTGCCTACAGATACACTTGTACATGCACACCCATTTACACACATGTGGCTTCCTATACACGAATATGCATACATGTCTACCTTTGTAACCACACACATTTTTTTGGTTGTTATTGTTGCGAAATTGTGTGTTACAGCATTTACTGAAATTGTCTGTTATTCTTGCATACTTCTTAGTGTCTTCATTTATCTTCATTAAAGTTGTGCAGACTTTACCCATATTGGATATTACCTTTCCCCTCACCAGAAATGTGTTTGATTCGCCCTCTATCCCTCTCCCATCTCTGGTAACCATCAAAGAATGTTGCTTTCTGTGTGTATTCTTATTCTTGACTTTTTATAAAAGTGGCACCATACAGTATGTCTTTCTGTGATTGACTTAACTTCACTCAGCATAATGTTCTCCATATTCGTCCATGTTATGTTTTGCGGACTCCTCATTATTCTTTGTAGTTGAGTAGTATTCCATAGTATGTATGTACCACAGTTTGTTTATCCATTCGTCTGTTAACGGGCACTTAAGGTTCCCATCTTTTGCTATTGTGAATAATGTTGCAGTGAAGATGGGTGTGCATGTGTCTATTCATGTCAGTTCTTTTATATCTTGGCTGGCTCATAAGGTATGTCTATTTCTAGCTTTTTGAGGAAGCGCCATGCTGTTTTCCATAGTGGTCATACCATTTTGCAGTCCTACCAGCAGTGTAGGAGTTCCAGTCCCCCCACAATCTCACCAGCATTTGCTGTTTTCTGTTTGTTTTTTATCATTGCCGTTTTTGCTGGGGTGAGATGGTATCTCATTGTAGCTTTGATTTGCATCTCTAATGGCTAACGATCACGAGCATTTCTTCGTATATTTTGTTTTCCGCCTGAATGTTGTCTTTGGTGAGGTGACTGTTCATGTCCTTTGCCCATCTTTTGATTGGATTGTTCGTCTTTTTGTTGTTGAAATTTTCTCTATTTTAGAGATTAGACCCTTACTGGATATGTTGTTGCTAGAGATTTTTTTCCCAGTCTGTGGATTCGTTTTTTATTCTCTCGGTGTAGTCTTTTGATGAGGATAAGTATTTAATTTTTTAGGATTTCCCAGTTCTCTAATTTATCTTCTCTCATTTTGTGCATTTTTAGTTTTACTTGATAGACTATTTATGCTGAATATTAGGTCCCCTAGTTTTCACTCTGTTGTTTTCCAGGAACTTTATGAGTTTAGCTTTTAACATTTAGGTCTTTGATCCATTTTGAGTTTTTTGTGCTTGGTGTGAGGGATGTATCCTGATTCGTTTTACTACATATGGATATCCAGTTTTGCCAACACCATTTGTTAATAAGACTTTCTTCCCCATTGAATGGACTTTGACCCTTTGTCGAAGATCAGCTGCCTGTAGATGAATGGATTTACTTATGAGCTGTCAGTTCTGCTCCATTGGTCTATATGTCATTGAACCAGTACCAGGCTATTTTAATTACCGTGGCTCTGTGGTAAGTTTTGAGATTGGGAAATGAGAGGCCTTCTGCTTAGTTGTTCTTCAGTATTGTTTCAGCAGTTCGGGTCCTCTTTCCTTTCCATATAAAGCTGGAGATTGGTTTTTCTGTTTCATTTTGTGTTGTTGGAATTTGGATCAGGATTACATTATATCTATAGGTCGCTATTAGTATTGACATTTTCACAGTGTTAAGTCTTCCAGTCCATGAGCATGGAATGTTTTTCCATTTATGTAGATCTCTTTTAGTTTCTTGAGGTAGCGTTTTATAATTTTTTTTGTGTAAGTCTTTTACATCCCTGGTTATGTTTATTCCTAGGTATTTTATCCTTTTGGGGGCTATTGTGAATGGTATTGATTTCTTTTTCAGGAATTTCCTTTTCTTGATTTCCTCATCAGTGTAGAGGACTCCAAACTGATTTTTGTGTGTTGGTCTTGTACCCTACCACTTTGCTGAATCTTTCTATTCCAGCAACTTTCTTGTGGAGTCTTTGGGATTTTATATGTATAGAAGCATGTCATCTGCGAATAAGGATAGTTTTACTTCTTCCTTACCAATTTGGATATCCTTCATTTCCCTTTCCTGTCTTACTGTTCTGGCTAGATCTTCCAGTACAGTACTGAATAAGAGCAGTGCATTCACTGCTTTTTATTTTTTTTTAACTTAATAAATACATAGCATGCATATCCAGTAAGTACTTTATACTTCTCATAGCATCCCTGTGAATTAATTTGAGATGAGGAAACTGAGGCACAGAGGTCAACTTTACCTAAGGTCAGTCATAAAATCAGTAAGTCATGGTGTTGGATTTGAACCAAGGCAGTCTGGCCCCTGGATTTTCACTCTCTTAACCACTATATTAGGGTTTTTTTAATCTCTGCTTTATTGATATTTTGGGCCAGATAATTCTTCGTAGTGGGGACTGTCCTGTGCATTGTGGGATGTTCAGCAGTATCCCTGGCCTCTACCCACTAGATGGTAGTAGTATCCCCCTCCCCTCAGTTGTGACAATCAGAAATACCTCCAGATGTTGCCGCATGTCCCCTGGGAAGCAAAATTGTTGCTAGTTGAGAATCACTGCGCTACTATGCTGTTATTGGATCATTTAGAGACAGAAAAAAATGATATGTCAGTTATTAAGATAATAAGCAAAGCACAACAAGAAATGTTGGAGAACCTAGTAAGCTAGAGCAGCATTTTTATGTGAGTTGGTTGGAGCAGGGAAAAGTTGGGCTTTTGTGAATTGAGTATAAAGTAACATATACTGGTAAACACATTTAAGAGTAAATCGTTTTTCTAAGGAAGGATTGTTTTACGGACTTGTTGGGAATTATTGCAGGGTTCAGATAAAATAAGTGTTTTCTAGTTTGTAAAGGACTATGTAAAATGGTGCTTTACTCTCAGGGAACATGAATTGGGATACATAAGGGTCTTAGTCATTTTTAGATAGTATCTAAGTATATGCTGATTATTATTGCTCTCCAATAACTATTTTTGAAAGTAAAATTTATAGATTGGTTGTTTTAGCTTTTTGTTTTTCTCTGTGGTTAGCTTTGCATATTGATAAAGGTTGATATTAAGTAACCTAGGTCTAGCAATGATCTTTTGAAAGGGAATCAGCCTGTTTTTGAGTGGAATTTTGACTAATAAAAAGTATAGTTGAAGTACTAAAATTAAACACATTTCTCAAGTTTATGTCTACATTGAAAATAACAGTGAGAAAACAGTGTTTTGGGAACTGTTCGTCAATTCTTGATATGCATATTTTGGTGTTTGAAGCTCTGCCACATTTATTATATAGTAGTATAGATGTAGCTTATTTTTGGGAAAGTGACAAATCTTGCTTTTTTAAGATTTGACTTAAGAATAGAATGATTTATTGTAGGAATAGGAAAATTTGTAAGGTCTTTATGCCATCTTACCGTAGTATCTAACATACATTTTTGTTATTTGTCCTACTTGTCATTTTGTCTTTATAATAAATGATCTTTGGATATGTGGAAAGGGAGCATTAGGAAATGCAATTCAGAATGACAAATTAGCATAACAATTTGTAAAAAAAAAAATTCTGTGGTTGGGGCTTACTCTTGACACCTTTTAAATCATGAAGGTTAAGGTCCATAGTGACTTGTATTTGATTTTGTTATTGTTGTTTATTCTTGGTACTCTATTATTACCACTGTGAATTAACCTAGTGCGATAATTCTCCATTAAAGTTATGTGAATGATGTGTAACAAACCCTATTTGAATTGTAAATAGTTAAGTGCCTACGTGTTAATTAGCATTACTGTTTGATTTAAACTCTTAATATCTTTCTCTTTTTTAATAGGTATGATGATTGCTACTATTATGGTCCACCTCATATGCCCCCTCCAACAAGAGGTCGAGGGCGTGGAG